AAAAAATTTAAAAAAATTAAAAAAAAAAATTCCCTTTTTTTTTTTTTTTTTTTTTTTTTTTTTACGTCTATGATCTCGTAAACTCGCGTAGCCCATGGCATGACCTCCACGTATTACTACGCATTACACATTTTAGAACATTTAGTAGAATCTCTTCAACCAAATAACAAAAATTTCTCACTCTCTTTTTGACACATCATTTATAAGTATATCATTATGTAACTCATTATATACAAGTAACATTATTTTTATCTTTTTTCTTTAGCTCTTCTCAGATTTTATCGATCGTTGTTGCTCATCCTTTCCATTATGAAATTCCCTTATAGCTTTTATTCATTTATTTTATTTTGATCTTTACATGATTTTCAATTTTTGATTCGATTAGCAACCACACATTTTTGCTAGTTTTGAGTTATTATTACTACTAAATAGTGCAAATATTGTTAATTGTGGTGCTTGTACGTTGTTGGTTGATGTTTTTGCATTTGAAAGAAATAATTATGTGAGTTGTACATTCTCTGAGTAGTGATTGAAAAGAATTGTTATTAAAATCAATGTGCAAAAAGTTGTCACCTCACAAGATTTCAAACTTGAAATACACTTAAGAAAATTGTAATCGTAACAATTATGCATGTTGTACATTCTTGAATTACATTGCGGACGACATTCCTCTTATGTGGATGAAATCTAGCCATTGAATGAGAAAAATATTGTTAAAATCAATGTACAAAACACTGTCATCTCATACAATGTCAAAATTGATGTACATGTAGCAAAATTAAAAAAATTAACGTTGGACGTGATCAAAATTTAAACTAACTAATATGTTGCATCACATATATACCTCAATAGAGTCCAAAACCAAGTTTTAGATGAATATGAGTATAAAACGTGTTAAACGAGAAAAATTGGAATAGATTGTCACTTGAGCGACACTACTCCAAATTTGACAATTTCACTCGAGCGGACAACTAGCAAAAATGCGGCAACAATATTCCCGATCCATAATTTTGATCTTTTCAAGACCACATCAAATACAATTTCAACACCCACTATAATTTGGGTCACACTACAAAATTGATAATTATTTTTCCTTCAGACTTACCATTTTGGGTTAAATTTTTGTATTCTTTACTCCATATAGCGCACAACAATAAAGGAATCATAGAGAAAGTGGAGAACATGTCAAAAAATTTTGAGGTAAACATGGAATTTTCCTGTCCATGTATGTTTCGTAAGAGTTTTATGTTTTCGTTGTAGAATTCTGCTCGAGTGATTTCGCCTTTTTTGATTGTTCACTTATGGAAGAGAAGCTATTTTTTGTACTGTTCACTATAACAAAAGTAATTTGTTACGGCATTCACATGTATGTCGTAGAGGACACGACATGCAATGCATGTAGTATAAAGGAAACTTTGTTTTAGTGGTTATATTGATCTTTCTAGTAGTAATGATTTTTAATCCTTTTGATTTAGTAATCGGTGTGCTTGGAAGTACAATTAGATGATATGATCTGCATCTATACTATTATTGAGATTGGAATTTTAATAATATTTAAATTTTGAGTACGTTTAGTGATGGTAAATACCAATAGGAAGAAGTTACACCCAATACCATATCAATTATGAGTTGTCTTAAAGATCCAAGTTCAATGAGTAGTTTGGATTTTTTTAGATTTTTCGGTTTATTCAATATTTTTACATTGTATACATAATTTCATAAAAAAAAAAATTATTCATATATATTCTCATTAACAATTTCAATTTTTTTATTAACAATATCAATTAGATCAACCACTTTTAAAAACAGTACTACTACTTTAAAAATATTACGTATATCATTCATTCAATACGAATATTTATAGAACCTGGCATTTTTTTATCGGCTGTAACGCATAAAGGCGTTGACTTTTTTATTTGGTTTATTTGGTAACGTCTATTTATTTGTCACTGCACCATTATTCTTTTGTTCACTTCAGGCAGAAAAAGCCCTTCTCTCTTGGTTTCTTTGAGAATAATTCGGTAAGTCTTCTTTCTCTTTGTATTTGTATTTTTATTTTTTTAAATTTTAATTTCTACGACAAACAATTTCATTTTTCAATTATTGTTAGCACGTGGTTGCATGTGTTTTGGTTGATATTTTTCATCAAAATGTTCAAACTTTTTATAAGAGGAAAATTCATAAAAAAAACAAATGGATACCAAATCGATTTTAAAAATAGCATTTTGATATCGCCAAACATTTATTATTACTATATAACGACCTAAATTTTGAAATTTTCTTAATTTTCTTTTAACTTTGTAGTTATCCTTACATTCTATTACATGTTCTAAATTTAATTGGTAACAAATGATTTAGGGTAAATAACTTTGATTTGTTAAATAGCGATAATAAAACGAAGAGTTCAAATGAATGTTAGCTAGCGTTAAAGGAGTTAAATTTAACAACGCACTGTCCAACTATCAAGCTTAGTTGGACCATTTATTGGATACATAATTTTATGAAAGTTTTACATTATTTTCTAAACTCATTCAAGTACAACATAGTGAAATTTCAGAATTTTTTCAAAATCATTTATGCACTCCAATAGACACTTAAATATGTGAAAAAAACTGTTCTCGGGTACATTGAACATAGCACACGAAAAATGGCATAACTTATCTTACCAACTTTCAATTGACTTAATTTCAATGATGACGGACAGAGAACTCATAGGACTTTCAAACCTCACTAGTTTTGTCCAAAAATTCAAAGAATACTTTCCGG